TGTTTCCCATGACTACTGGCTAGATGATCCAAGTTCAAAGATACACTTGTAATCTTATGTGTTTTTTTTTTTTTTTTTTCACTTTTATGATTTGAACTTTGTTCAATTAATCAATTGATTCGTTAGTGATGATTTAATAATTAAATAAAAGCAAGCGTTTATGCAACTAATTTCATGAGGGTTCTAATAGTAGTAGAAGAATTCTTTCGTCTCATCATGAGCATAACAATATGACTAATGGTTTTGCAATATTTGTCCAAATAGCATTAATACAATGAAGCTGGCCCTTTTATGATTGTCTTTGAAAATTAAGAAAGTGGGCATCTTTTTTTTTTTTCTTTTTGCTAGACTCCAGAATAGTAGTACAAATTTCTGAGTGAATAACATATTATATTAAGATGTCCTTGTGTCAAGAGGTTTGTTGTGCCCTTTCAATGCATTATGATTGAAAATATAAAGAATCCGAGCATGGAAGTAATTAGTGTAGTCATTTGTTGAAATTTGTTCAATTCTTATTAGCTTTAAGTTATCATCATGGCTTAAAATCTATGTGAATTAAAATAGGTTCTGCTTAATCGATATATTGCTTGAAATTGAATTTTATCACTTTTGAAAACCAGATATATAGTGGATAATAAATTTCTGGGGTGATCTGGCTTACGGAGCCATCTTAGGCCCCCTCCCCTTAACTTTTGCCGCCAAAAGTTCTTTCGTACAATTATCCCCTAAATTTTCTTCTATCCCCTAAATTTTAACTTTTAAACATACTTATAATTCATAATTTTTTAAATATTTCAATTATAACCTAAATGTTAACTGTTAGGTATACTCATACTTGAAACTTAAAATCTCAAATAAAACAAAATCAACCTACTAATATAAATTCATAGTTTTCTAGACTTTTCTTCAAAAAAGTGAATTGATTTTGATTCATTTGGGAGAAGAAAGGAAATATACAAAGAAATAGAAGAAGATAAAAAAAATGAAAGAAAAATAGTTGCAGAGTTCGTTTAATTCAAAATTTCAGCTCCTTTTGAAACAAAAACTGAAATTGTAGTGAATAGTAGATTTTTGAAACTAAATTAAGTATAGAGCAGATTTTAAAACTATTTGAAGTAAATTACAATTTATTATGTAAATGTATCATTTTTTACTAGTAAAAAATAATTTACGTGGTAAAAAATCTTTATTAACGTGGAAAAAAATATTTGCAGCAGTCGTAAAAAGAAAATTTACGGGAAAAAAAAATTATTTTTACTAATTGTAAATGAAATATTTACCTGGTAAATCTATTTACTTCAAATAACTTTAAAATTTACTATTTATTTAATTTAGTTTCATATATCTGCTATTTACTACATTCTTCCTAAACAATTCTAACTTCGTCATTGGCTGTGGTAGTAGTGTTTGAAAATTTATCTTCGTAACTTGGTTAGGACATCAGAACCCTTGGGTTACATAAAATGCATGTAATTTTCTTTTTACTTTAAATAATGCATGTAATTTTCAGTACAGGCATAAATCATTATCATTTAGTACTATATGCTGAATCAAATCATTAAGAATACATTAGTGTTGAGTGTTTAATCCAAAGATTAATAATACTAGCTGGAGTCGGAGCAAAAAAGTAGTACTAATTGGGGATTAGAAATCCTAGGTTAGTTTTTTTGTTTTTTTTTTTTTCCCCTCTTTCAAATGTTATTTGGGACAATAGTGTCCGAGTAGATCAGGAAGATTGACATTGTCATCTAGACTCTGTTAGAACTTAGATATTAATTAGGTCTATAACCAAAATGCTGATTAAATTATTTCATAGATATTACATTCAAGTCTATCACTTGTAAATTTGGAACCAGGAGATTTTCCAACCCCTACATGTTTGGTGCACAAGTTAGAACCAGTCAATAACTTTGTTCAGAAGAATCCCAAGTCATTTATACATATTTATATATATATATATGGGTATAGTTTTAATGTTTACTTTATTATTTATTTATTGATGGATATTGTTATTTTAATCGTAAGATATTGATGTGATAGTTGTAATAAATTGAATAGTTGACTAAAACAAAATTATGACAATTAATGAAATTATATTCTTATCATGTCACGTCATCAAATTTATATATTTGATAGTAACTATAACACCCTGAAGAATTAATTGGGATTAATTAAGGTAATTGAGATTATTAGTGTGCCTAATCTGGATTTATTAATTGAGTATTAATTAATAAATGTTCATGACATGTGTAATTTAAATAATTCCAAGGTATTTAAATATTCTCAGTAATTTTTATTTTAACCCAAAAGTGTGTATGAGCGCATTTCTGGACTGTTTTCTTTAAATGTTGGTACCTGTCTATTTTTTTTTCTTTTTCTTTTTCTTTTCTCCCTTTTCTTTCTTTTTCTTTTCCTTCCTTCCCGTGAACCCCTCTCTCTCACTCTCTCTCACTCTCTTGTTCTCTCACACACACACACACTCTTTACTTTTCTCTCTCTCTCTCTCCCGTTTTGCTTCAAATCAACTGGATTTCGAACCAAAGGAAAGTTTCAAGAAGTTTCAACATCAAGAGAAGGATTCAATGTAAGATTTCTGAAAAACCTCTCTTGAAATCCTAAGTTTTCGGATTTAAAACTCATTTTTTTGGTTCAAAATAGATTTTGATGATTTTTGAGTAAAACTAGGGTAGAAATTGGAGATCTTGGGTTCTTTGGACTTGTTTTAGGACTTAAAACCTAGATCTAATGGTTGTCCCTTGAAATATTTTGATTTGGGACTGGATTTGCATGTTTTCAAACTGATTTCCGTGAGTTTTCTCGCACTGTGGAGTTCTTCACCGGTCGACCAGACTACACTGAGGCCACCGGTCGACCGGATTGCACACCACCGGTCGACCGGTGGTGATGCACTGTTTTGTCACCGGTCGACCGGTTGACACGGGATTTGATCCTATTTGGCCTGAAATTGTTGTTTTGACCCCTGTTTTCAGGGAGAACCCAAATTAGCTTCATTTGGGGACTTGAGATAAATGGATTAGCATCTTTAATCCTTGATTTGAGATTGGAAACCCTTGGAATGATAATTTAAAACATGAAAATGGATTAGGGCACACTAATAGGAAATTCTTGGTTGGAAATTGAGATTGGATTGCTTTAGGAATGAGAATTGATCCTAAAGTGTTGTCTTGTATCAGTGATCGCTGAGGATTCAGACTGAAGGGGCTTGTGGAAGCGGCAGCCGGAAAAAGGGCAACGCTAGTCCCAGGTTTGATAGTGCGAGGTAGGATTTCTATCCCCTTTTCCTTGTGAGCCTGTTTTCAAAAAGGATTTTGGCCCTGTAAATGTTTTAAAGAAAGGGGATTGTTTGCGAAAGAAAAACAATTTAAAAACCATGGCTTGTTTAGTTCATGGAACCTCATGGCTTGTCCAGTTATGGGGCCCGCGGCTTGAGTAGTTCGTGGGGTCATATTAACGATTTCATAATGTTAAATGAATGGTTTCTTAAGATAAGAGATTTTGTGAACCGGTAAGAATACATTGCTGTAAGCCTAGATAGGATGCGGAGAGTGCATCATCGGGGGCAGAACTCGAAACCCGGTCTGGGTAGGCGAGGCACTTGGTAGGTGAGTAATTTGTACTAATTACTTGTTGATGCCTGTAATACGGTTATTTTCAGTTATATTTCCTTTGAGAAAAATGATATGAGGTTCCGGCTGCCTATTGGAACTGAATGTCTTATTTTATTTACTTATTCATTTATTTATTCGTTGCTCATTTATTTTTCATTTAATTATACAGTCATTTCAAACTATATCCTACTGGGCCTTTCGCTCACGTTTTATGTTTTAAATGTATTAAACCCCTCCCACGAGATTCTAGGTGCGGTGCACAGTAGCTGGATATTTGCTACGGAGTAGCTGAGTCGTGCTGCTGTTGGAACAAGAGAGGACTGTGTTCATCCTCTGTCATAAATGTAAGGAATCAAGAATTCTGTAAACTCATGTAATATTTGGATTAACTAGACAGTGATTGATGTCTGTTGTAATTGATTATTTACATGTTCATGTATGTACAATACCATTTATCCTGTGGGTGGAGCCCTGTGTGTTGTTAGAGGCTCGAGACTTAGAAATTATATTATATTTTAATGGAGTTGAGTGGGGCTCGTTTAGAAATCTGCTTTATTAACTCATAATTGAGCTCCACGTCACCCACCCCGTTTGGGGCGTGACAGTAACCATTCCATGTAACTATTAAAAACTCATGTATGTATGTATATGATTATATATATATAATTCATGCATAACAAAAAATTAAAGATTATATTGTCAGGAGACCTACTTATCAGGCTGTCTTTTGTTCTTTATAACTGCAAAATCCAATCATTTAGGCTTCCTTGCATTGACTATTTGCTTTCACGTGAAAAACCCAAAACCATATATATATATATTTTTTTTTTTTTAATTTATATATACGCCACTGACCCCATCTTTACACATATACACACACAGGCGTACGCACACATGTATATTATTGTTATTATCAATGGGTTGATTTAGATACTGCACAACCCTACTGTAAGATCCCTGTTCGATTAATGTATTGTGTGACGTTAGGTGTCTAATAATATAAGTAAAAACTAGCTAGACTTACTTTCAGGTATAATTGAGTCAGATCATTTCCGTTTTAACAATAGGTCCTGAAATTTTCAAAGTAACAAAAGAAATATGGGTGAAATAACACTAATAATCTATTTTTTTCTTGAAAGAAAAAATTTATCTTTTAGTGCCCTCTACTGCTTTTATCTTCATTTTACTTTTCTCCAACTTTAATCAGGTTCAATCATGATGATCATGCACTTGTTAAATTGCTCTCACTAACTAGGTGTGAGGGCTATTTATAATAGGTACCAAAACCTAATTAGGGGACAAAGTAGACCTTTCTCTCTCTCTCTCTCTCTCTCTCTCTCTCTCTCTCTCTCTCTCTCTATTCCACGCAAAATGTCTGAATCCCAAAATTCTGTTAAACTTCACATCCTAGACATTTCTGAGCCAGTATTGCACCCATCCTCTCTATCCTCTCTTGCTGAAACCTGCAGAACATGGGGTTTCTTCCACATTACCAATCATGGGATTTCCAGTGACCTTTACAGCAAAATATGTTCCATCTCAAAAGAACTCTTCAACCTCCCTTCTGAAACTAAACTCAAACTTGGTCCTTTCTCTTCCACAAGAACTTACACCCCTCATTTCATAGCCTCTCCATTCTTCGAAAGCCTCAGAGTTTCTGGTCCAAACTTCTTTGCATCTGCTCAAAATTCTGCAGATATTCTATTTGACCAACAGTGTTCTCTGTTCAGGTATTAATTCAATATATATAATACCCTCATATGTATGTGTATTAACATTTTGCTTGTATTTTCTGATACTGGTTAAGACTATAGGGCTTGTTTTCGGTCGTTTGTAACAACCGATCCTATTGTAACATGTAGAAAGAATGTGTAACATCAGTGTATAGTCGATAATTTTTTTTTTATTGATTTATCTTTATAAAGAATTGTTACCTCTAATGTCACTCCTTTTACTTGTTCATGACTACATGTTACATTAGACCGGTCCTTCGCGAAAGACTCGAGTGTTCGTCTATGATTGTATTTCTGTTTAATCATTTGGGGTCCTTCCCTAACAGTGAGATGTTGCAAGAATATGGAAGCAAGATGGTAGAACTGTCAAAGAAGATCATGGAGACCTTGTTGATGAGCTTAGGGGACGGATTTGAGACGAAATACAAGTCGGAATTTAAGAACTGCCATGGCTATTTGAGGATAAACAACTACTCTCCTCCAGAGAATCTAGAAGATCATGGTGAGGTTGAGGGGCTGGGAATGCACACTGATATGAGCTGTGTAACAATAATCTATCAGGACAAAATGGGAGGGCTTCAAGTGAGATCAGAGGAAGGGAAGTGGATGGACATAAGTCCATGTGAGGGAACACTTTTGGTGAACATAGGGGACATGTTGCAAGCTTGGAGCAATGAGAAGTTGAGGTCATCCGAGCACCGGGTGGTCCTAAGGCGACCCGAAAACCGCTTCTCTCTAGCTTTCTTCTGCTGTTTTGAGGATGACAAGGTGGTCTTGGCACCGGATGATGTTGTAGGAGAAGGAAATATGAGAACCTACAAGCCCTTTGTTTGCTTGGATTACCTCAAGTTCAGAGAGAATAATGAGAGAGGTAAGTTTGAAAAGGTTAAGTTCACAGTAAAAGATTTTGCTGGTGTCAATACACAAGCAATTTAATTATGTAAAGAAGATTAATGCATAAATTCAAGTTGAAGAGCAAAACTTATAAAGAGGAGAAATTGTGGGGTTTAGTTGGTTTTGGAAAGAGCTTTGGCTTGTTGGTAAATGGAAGTTACTAGGTGATACTTTGGAGAAATTTGACTTGGTGGGGTTTATAAGGGGTTTTGATTTTCCAAATCATGTATATTTTAAATTTGATAATATTCTAGATCAGCATTGATTCAGCATATCCAACCTCTGACAGTAATGGAGCTAGCTCATGTGGTAGGGACATGACATGATCACCTCAAATTGCTGCCTTAGGCTATTATTTTGAGAGTGGGGACCTGAGAAATTTTGTCCTTATTGCAGGTCTAGATATGTCTTTGTAAAGTATTGTGATTACCCATTATTCTACATCATTATTGTGTTATTATATATAAATTTTTTTGGGGAAAGGACTTCCCATCTTCATCATTGGTGTTGTTAAATGTTAATACATATAAAGTACCATTGTTTACTTTAGTAATAATGATCATCACTATTGTTCTAATAATTACCTAACTTAATATGGAGACTTTAATATTTTTGTTATATATACATGGGTCCATAATCTCTCACTGTCTCTTAAGTTTTTTATAAAGGGAATTGAAATGGGTACATTTTTTTTTTTTTTTTTTGTCTTTTGTTCACTCTTATTATCCGGTCAAACATGTTTCTTGCAATGTGAACGGTTCCATTTAGAAAATTCCTACAAAAGAGTAAAAGAAAAGAGAAATTAGTTGGAATATGATTTAGGATCTTCACAAAGATACTAATGCATACAATTCACGTGTTCATTATTAACTTAGGGGCTTTTATTCTGAAGAATTTAGGGACTTAAATATTGTGCAAGGTCTAAGGATGACAAGTGCTATTAATTTCTTCTAATTATAATTAATAATGAAGATATAGATGAGTTTGGCGGCAATCATACTTTAACTAATAAACACACAAAAAATTAAATTGAGAACAATCAAAGCCTAATTAGTACTGGACTTTTAGCAATCTTAAAAAAAAAAATAAATAATAATAATATAATAAAAAACCAAGTTAATTACCATTTTTTTTCTCTGGTGAAAATCCAAGTTCTCAAATTTCCGAAGAAAATGTATGGTGTGCATATATCATATGTATTTTTGGTATTAAATAGAAACTCCATACGAAAAGCAAGGTGGGAATTTGGCAATTTGGCAACTTGTCATTGTTGTACGCATATATACAATATATATAATTTAAATAAAGAAATCCAAGTACTCCAAGTGTCTGTTGTTTTTTAAATTCGTCACACGTTCAACGATGTGTGGCAGACAAGGAATTTATGATGTTGCTTGCTAGCTAGCGGTTCCCCTAATTATTAAGCTGCAACAATTCACAAAACTAACTCAAAGAGCTGTAACCCTTGTTTAGTTTAGTTTGCTGTTGGAATTGTATGATTTGCTTTGAATTGCAGTCAATTTTAAAATTAAGGGTTTGAGTCAATAGTTTGAATTGTGCTCATTTTAGTTCTCTACTAAATATCATTTTAAATCTCAAATTATAATTTGAATTAAATTATTTGGTTTAAGTTATTGAAACAAATGGAGGCATAATAATTATAAATTATTCATATCGTTCACAATAAATTTGAATTCCTTAGCCTGATGTCTCAAATGCCGTATTTCTCTTATGAGAGTCCATCTTATGACCTATTAAGATTCTTTTCAACATATAACTTTAAATTTTAAAAGAAGCGACGCGGATATATTATTTTTAGATACTATAAATTTTAGCAAAATACTCATATAAAATCAAAAGGAAAAAAAAATCAAGTGGCACGGCGTCTATGCTCGAACCCTTGACCATGTAAAGCTCCACCGGCCCTAACGATTAGAATTTCTTAACCTAAGTGTTATTTAACTATAGCTTCTACCGTTCTCTTAAAGTAAGACCAATCAAATATTGTAGTATGATGTAATACATATTATAATGTTTTGTAATAATTTGAAATATTAAAATTTCTTGTTGTTGGGTCTCAAATTTCATTGACTTCATTAATCTTTTATAAATTTCATCTACCTACGATATGACGAGAAAAGGATTTCAATTTTCTTTCCTTGTGCTCCTAAAAAATAAAAAATAAAAACTTTTATTGTGGATTTTCTAGGTCGTGGAAGTTAAAACAAATCTTTACAATGAGTATCATATCTTTTGGTCTTTTTTTTTTTTTTGTTTTTTTTGTTTTTTTTGTTTTTTTGGTATTTTAACATACATGTTTGTATCAAGTAGATGAAAATAGATTCTCTTTCTAACTCATACATCATACAATTACGAGGTTTTATTAGCTTGAGATGCAAGTATTTCGTAAACCCATCTAATTACTGAGGTGGGTGGTAGGCACTAACATGTTTCGACAAACAGGTTTTAGGATTAAGTTATTGCCTTTCTAATGTGTTGATTATCATGCAGGCGAGATTGGATATGACTCTTGTGTCCCCTTATTCGTATCTTTTTTTATGTCTCTCTAATAATATCATAACACGTCAGTTAAAATGTCATGTCAATTAAAATATCATGCTGCATCAATTAAAAAGTTATGACGTGACATGGTATTATTGGAGGACAGGAAAGAAGGGACATATGAGCCTAATCCCTTGAGATTATCTAAGAATGCCGCCCTTTTTTCCTTTTTACCTGCTTATTTTTCTGGTTGGAAAAAATGCTTTGTTTGAGAGAGGAAAACACTAAAATTGAATGATTTAGCAATGTCATTGAGCATTTTCTATTTCTAGTCGTCCTAAAATATTTTAGAAAATCAACAAATAACTTAACGGGAGTCAATATTTGTTCCCTGCCTCCCAAGCAGAGGAACTTCTAAGTTCACAAAACACCTGTAGTTGAGACTTGAGAAAAATGAACTCCACATCTCTAAATATATATATATATATATATATATATATTATGAACAGCACAAATTACACTAGTGAATGAAATTACATTGGACACTTAGGGTTCTCATTACGTTGACAAGTTTGTTTTATAACCTTATTCACTAGGGGTAACAAGGTTAAGAAGTGGAAAAAGAAATTCAACAAATCTCATGTCATAAAGCAGATCATTGTTCTCTTCTTCTACACCGTTTGATGAGGATCAAGTGGTTGAACTTCACTGATAACAGAGGGATGATCATACAGATGAAAGTTGACTAGCTTTATCTGGCTTCTCAACACTTCCCAGCAACCTTCCAAAGTGCTTGTTTGATCATCCCAACCGAAGCAATCGCCGTGCCTCGGAACTGAAAAACCAGTTCAACAAGATAAACAGTTTAAGTATCTGGATTGAAAACAAATTATACGAAAAAAAAAAAAGATGAAAAGAAAAAGAATTTTGGTAGGAAATTCTAGGATAGTTTTAGTTCAATATAGTAAATACAAATTATTCTTGAAGTCTGCAGAACCAGTTAAAGGAAATAAGTTACTTGAGACATGTCATTATATTATTGGAATAAGTCATGAAAAATGATATAGACTAACATTACATGTCAAAGATAATTAACAATGTAAAACAACAAAAAAACTGACCTTGGATTTAAGGGTCAAAGTGAAAACGCCATCAAGATTAGATGATTGAACCGAGTAAGAATTCAAATGAAGATCATTGATGGCATCCATGATATCAAGCAGTATGTATTCCTTATAAGGGCATCTAATATCTATCTGAACCTCCTGATCTTTGATGCTGACTTTCAAGTCCAATGGATGACCATCGTTGTGAACAACCCTGTTAAGGTCTGCGTCGGTTTCATCGATGTCACGGGCCTTCCTCTTGTGCATCCATGAATTTCTTCCATTATCATTCATCTTGTTGTCATAGTTATCTGATGTTTGTTCTACCACTTCCAAGTATTCCTTTCTTGCTTTTGTTTCATTATTTACCGAGTGTTTGCAGGATTCCAACTCTTCTACTCTTTCCTCGAGCTCTTTTAAATACTTGTTTGTGTCCTTGAGGATTACTGCTTTATCATTCTGCACAAAAAAGATCATGGGGAGATTTCAGATATTTAGCTTCGAAAGAATGACATCAACCAAGAAATGTTGCAGCGTTATTGTTTAACTCTTCTCAGTGGTAAAACAAACAAGAGTTATTTCTATTAAAAAATATCAAGGGAAATTACCATTTTGGTACCCTGCAATTTTTATATTATTGTTTATATTATTTCCAGAGAAGGACATGTGATGTTACCTTACTGATAGAAGGAATAGTTGAACTGAGGGCAAAAAGATTCTCACTCTCTCTTGACTTTTTGTACTTAACATGCCGTCCCATGCAATCATTGTGCAAGTTCTCAAGCCAATCTTTTCCCAAGACTTTCTTGTGGGACTTAAGAGATGAACTTTGATACATGAATGGAACTGAAAACAAAATCTTCTTCAACATTTTCTGCTGTATCCGCGGCCTATAACTGTCGACCAGTCCTTTCTTCCACGCTGCAAAACTGGACGCACGGTCACAATTCTGAGAACAATAGAGTTCAATCAATTGAGTAGGACCTCCTAGAATGGCAGTAACAGTTTTCTTGTAGTGCAAGTCATCATCAGCCCCAAGATCCAAGGAGCGTAGTTTTGTGTGATTGAAGTTCTGAAGTTCTCTCAAGCAGTTTCGGTTTAGATCTTCATGCCCGGGACAAGTAACAACCTTTTCATGATTAGCAAAGGCCTCGGATTTACAGTCACTCGAATTCATGGAGTGTTGAACACCATTGCCGATATCATCATCCATGAAATGCCAACTTTGAACCTGAGAAGCCCCACCATTTGTACCTTCTAGCATAAAGGAGTCTTCTGTCTGGTGGTTATGGTCACAGCCATTAGAACATTCATCAGGAGAATCCATGTTGAAATCTTCATGGTTTCCATTCAGTTCATCAGTGCCTCTCTGGTCACACCTGATATCTTCTGCAGGAGAGGACAGGTTCTCAAAATTCAATGGATCATCTTTCTCATGGTCAACCTTAGTACTCATTTGGTCTTTATCATCATCGTCGTTGTCGTCATCATCATTATCGGTTCGGTAACATGATTTTGTGGTGCAAAAAGGCTTTGAGAAATCTAATAAGGCAGCCTTGATGTGCTGAAGGAGATTATGATCCTTTAATACCTTTATACAGCAAAGAAGTTATAACTTTATAAGCCTTAACAAGTCAAGTTGCTCGAGTTTAGTCTTGAAGGACAGCAAAGAAGCTATAACTTTATAAGCCTTAACAAGTCAAGTTGCTCGAGTTTAGTCTTGAAAAAGATGAGACGGTGTTAAAAGAAAAGTAATTACCAAGTCTGTTACACCTATCTCAATTACACCATCCAGATGAGGAAAGCAAACCACTGTCTACATGAAAAATATAACAATATATTGGCAAGAACATATTTTTAGGAGCAATAACAGATGAATTGATGGTTCTTAAACATATTCGGAGATAAACTTGTAATTCTCGAAAGAAAGTTGTACAAAGGTTTTTCATAATGACTTAAAATGGGGAAAATAAATTGTAAGATCTTATATGATAGGAACTTATATGCACCTTGGAGTTCTCAACTCTAGAGCTGTAAAAGGATTTCTCTATTTTCGCATTACATCCCATTATATTCCACTACAGTTTGGTAAACGGGTCCCAAAAGGCCTTATTTGCTTACTATATAGTCTTGCCTCCTCTAAGTAGAACCTCAATTTTATGGTAGAACCATACTGATTTTCTTCATCCTTTTTCGGTTTTTCTCCCTGAAACTACTGATCTAAATGCACAACATGTATGGCTATAATGTCGTTCATCACTTGATGTAGTATATAGAGGAACCATCATACCTGAATAGAGGCACTCTGAAGAAATCATCGAAGTCCATGGCACAATAAGTTTAGACAGAAACAGAGTCAGTTTTCCTTGCTGGCTTTTAGAAATAGTCAAGCCAATACAACAGTAGATATCAAAGTTAAATTCTGAAACAAATCACAACCAAGAATATTTCAAGAAAAAAGAAAACCAACCTTAGCTAGCAAAGAGCGATTAAAGACTTTGCTATCTGCATGTTGAGCATTGCATAACCAAATAGTTTTCCCATTTGCCAATGCTTGGCCTGGAAGACTATTTTGTGCCAAAAAAAAGAAAAAAAAAAAAAAACCCCCCTTAGTTTATCATTTCTCTCAAAGCTAAAGCTGGTGTGACAATATTAGTTCTAACTTCTAACACACACCCTCACACACAAACACAAGGGCATGTGTGTGTGAGTTGGGGGGAGTTGGCGGCAGGCGCTCGAGTGGGCAAATTAATTGGAAGGCACAATAAATGAATATATGATGATAATTTTGGAGAGTGCAATTACGGGGTCCTACTCTAAACTAACGTAATAATTTTGGAGAGTGTAATTGCGGGGGTCCTACTCTCATACTATGTTAGTTTACCATTTCTCCTAAAAATTTGGAGGTGACTGGTGAGCCGCTATTAGTTATAAATTCTAACACACTACAAAGTATAATCCATATGATACCCCGAAATAGACATGAGGGCCACCAAAAAAAAAAAAAAAAAAAAAAAAAAAAAGAGATGATCTGTAAAATGTTGAAAAACCTTTTGATCTAGAGTAGTTAATTACCTTTGGCCAAGACTGAACACAAATGACATGCACACTAAGTAATACCACTCTGCATCAGTGAGATCCTCTGGAGATAATACAGAAGATGATGGTGATGATGTCCTTTTAGCTTGTTGATGAGTTTCACCTTCTAAGAGACACTTGTAAAGCTCTCTTAATTGCTCACTTCTTTTTAAGCCTATTTTGTCTGTTGTAAGCTCCATAGCTTGGACTGCCTTTCTAGTTTTGATGTCTCCATTGTAGTATCCCTCTCTCCATTCCAAAACCCTGAAAGAATATTGATAAAGTCATAAGCTTTCCAAATAGATCATGGATTTTCTAGCAGAAAAATAATATATATATATTATATATATTATTTGTATGTACATATACCCTTCATCTGTGGTTGATAATGACCAGAAAATTGCATAGCTCCAATGGATACTCCTTACAACAACAGAAAGCTGTTTTCTCATCTTCTCTAGTACCTCCTCATGGTTTTGATCTCCATTTGCCATTTTTCCAAAGAGAGAAACTGAACTTGAACACTTACTTGAGAACCCACCAAGGAAAAATTACCAGTTAAATGAAGATTTGGTTTTCAGTAGATTGGAAAACTGAGTTCCGAATGATTCTGCCAACCACCATCCATGGTTTGAACACTAACACCTTGAAATCAGTGAGAGGCTTCTCTGAAGAGTGCTTTTTGGTGCCAGAAAACTGAAACGCCTGAGCTTTATACTGGTACCTTTTCCTTTTACATGTTAAAAACGACTAAAGGCTTTTTGAGTATGAAAAGCAACGGTTCAGCGGAATATATAGTGACTGAAGTATACAATAACTATTCATAAGAAAATAAGGAAAAAATAACTTCATAAAAAAAAAAAAAAAGATTCTCTCTTTCTCTCTCTTCTTTGTTCTGTTTTTTCAGTTATGTGATTAGTACATAATAAGGGTTATTCTCTTTTTTAGTCCCTAAATTATATAGGCCCTGAAATTTAAAACATCTCAGAACGAGTCCTCAATCTACCAAGTTGTTTTATATTGGTCCTTCCGTCCATCTGACACCCTTAAAATCTCAATCGAATTTGCACATTATCCTCATATACATTATTACTTGGAAGTAGAAAGACTTAAACGCTAAACTTATTTTGAAGTTAAGTGTGAGATTACCGATAGACTATACTAGTAACTACCGTAATAATAACCGTATTAGCTCCTAGTTAATAAGGTATCTGCCATGAATATATACATTTCTCTTACTCTTGTCTCTCGTCGTCATATTATGCATAGTGGGCAACATAATTTCAAGTGTACGACACCAGATTTGAGTTACAACACATTGTCATTTGAATGTTAGTGTGACAACATCAATCCCTTGAATCACAAGGTCAAGAAAAAATAAGTTGTGCAGTCTTATATCGTCTAGAGATGAAGATAAATCCTGATTTATAAGAAATAACACCACCTTCCAATGGTTTGAAGGCTTTTGAGGTGAGGCCCAAAAATAAAACCGTGCGGGCTCAGGCCTAAAGCGAACAATATCATATCAGGTGGAGGTGTGGATCGTTACATATGGTATCAGAGACTCTACCCAGCCGGAAATGTGGCCAACGAGAACGTTGGGCTCCCATAAGGAGGGGTGATTTTAACAGCCATCAATCTCTTGAGACACAAAGCTAAAAAATGGTAAGTTATGCAGTCTTACATCGTCTAGAGATGAAAATAGGTCCTGGTTTATAAAAAATGACACCACCTCTCAATGGTATGAGACTTTTTAAAGTGAGACATAAAAATAAAACCATGCAGACTCAAACTCAAAATGAATAATATCATACTAAATAAGTGTGTGAATGGTTACAATTAATGAACATCAATATAAGTTTAAGGAAAAGCAAGAAAAAGCAGGTCAAAGTTTCTGAAAACAATAAAGATAGTGGGGAAAGGGTGAAGTGGCTGATTAGCAGCCTTAACCTTAATCCAATAACTTTTCTTGTTTGGGTACTCTTAAAAGCAAACAGTGATTCACAACAACTCAGAATATTTTACTTTGGTGCAAAAAACCATAACTCTTTTATCACTGCAAATTTCCAGGAAAAGAAATGATGAGGACAAACATGTAACTCTTTTATCCCTGCTCTTGGTTTTCTTGTCTGCACATGTTCTTTTGATGATTTGGTTTTTAGAAAGATTCTTAAAGGTTGATCAACTATTTAAAATTTCTTTAATGCAAACCACTCACAAGCTCTACACAAATATCGATAGTTATCAACACTTATGTTTAAGTAATCACAATTCACATTATGTAGTAAAAAGCATATTTATAAAATTAAATTAAGTAAATAATTGATTTTAAAATTATTTAAAATAAATAATAGTTTGCCTTTTAATTTCTTGTAAATTAGCATGTTGCCCCAAAAGCCTTTTAAAATTTTGACAAATTATACCTTGAAAATTTAATAAAGTGGTGTAGAATGCTTTCAAACGGATGATAGTTGTTAAAGTTTTCACAAAAATACCTCTGTGCACATCACGTGGGGTTATTTGAAGGGTAGAGATTAGAATCCTAGATCACGACAGACAATTGAATAAAGATTTTACTCATTTTGTGATGCTTTATTAAATTATGGGCTGATTTGTCAAATTAAAATTTACAGAGTGATTTACCATCTTTTGAAAATTTTTCAAGGGTGAATGCACAAAAAGCTTTAAAAAAAAAAAAAAATCATATTCCTTAAAAAATGTGTTTAGCTTGAATAATAGAGAAAGCGAGTATTCAATGACTACGCAGCTGGATTTCATTATTGTCCACTATTGTACTCTTGTACATTTACCCACATTTCATCCCTTTGTTTTTCGTCTTTTTTCATTATTCTTGGTCCATACAATTATTATTCATCCGTAACCTCAGCAGATAGTTAAAGAAACATAGCTCTCAAGATTCTACTTTCGATGTAAAACGGTGAGCAAAATCCATATATATAGCAGCATACTTTGTAGGATTTGCTCACGTCTTTTGTGCTGCTTTCTCTGTCTGTGTGTGTGTGTTTGTTTTTTGTTTTTTTGTTTTTTTCCAAGAGATCTTTGAAATGTCACTATCAAGTACCTAGGTGATGGGAAATAGTCATTTTTCCTTTGATTTTGACATGTTGCAAGTATCTTGTTTTATCACCATCAGACTAAACAACAATATACTTTACCTATATAAATAATGATTGAAAAATATTGAATATTACTGGCTGAGGGCTTGTAAAACTGCTGTGTAACTCACAGAGTTACAGTTGGAAATTTATTTTTTCATATAAAAATGTGTGTATCTTCCTTTTTTTTTTTTCTTTTTTTGTCGGGTTAATTTTATAAATTATCCTGAATTGTTGTACCTTCTTTCAACGTGTCACCCTATAAAATGGTCTATTTCGTCCCTTAAAATATAAAAAAGTGAGAGCATTTATAATTATATACGTAGTGACACGTCATTATTTTGTTAATTTTATAAATGTAAAGATATTTTAAAATAAAGTAAGAGTACGAATGACCAATTTTATTTTATAAATTCTTAATAATTAATTTTGAGATTTACACTAATAAATTTCTGGGATATTACAAATTGTGTGGTTTATGCACTACCCATTTGTTCTTCTCAGTTGGGAGCTAGTGCAATAAAGAACCCATAAAATATTTTCCCATGTCCTTGCTAGTTCAATGGGTCTTATAGATGCCAATGGCTACATAAAAGTACTCCCTTGATATTCTTTTGCAACTAATTTAATGAGGAGGACGAAGTAAATAATAAATTTATAATAAATCACATATTTTAAAATTATTTAAAATAAATAACTTTACTTTATAAATGTTCTTTTTATAACTAGTAAAAAGATTTTTAAAAAAATACACTAAATAACATTTTTTTTCCTGTCATAGTGTAATAAATAGCAAGGGTAAATTATAGCAGGCTTATTCATTAATTGATAAAATACCTGAAATGCCCCTATTATTCTTGATCTCTCTCTCTTCTTCCCATCTATCCCCCGGTCGCGTCTCTCTCTTCCCTAATCTTCAGACATCTCTCTCTTTCTCTCTGGCTCTCTTCTCCGGTCTCTCTCTCTCCTCTCTCCACGTTTCTCTCTTCCCCGAACTTAGGACGCCGTTCTTGTACTCGTTGCTTCGATCTCACGAGGGAAGACGAAGACACTGATTGGGAGAACTCATATCTAGTCCTCGTTGGAGTTTTCGATCTCGCCGATCTCCGATCTTGCGAGTGAAACAAAGAAGCCGATCTCGTCACTGTTATTTTTGCTCCTTCTCCCTCCTCTGAATCACACTGGAGAATAGGCGAACCCAACTCCGTTACCATCCATGTCGTGAAGGCTCTTGTCGTGCTCTCTCTCTCCTCCCTCCTCTCTATCCTCTCTCAAAGATTTGCACCATATCCGATGTGGACGACGACAGCTAGTGGTTCGTGCTCCGCCGAAGATTGTCGCGAGTCGGATATGTACTAGTTTTCACAGAACCACGGCCGCGGAGGTGGCAACGCGATTCCCTGGGCTCGCCAGAGCTTGGTTGTGGAGGTGGCAGCGGGATTTGCCTAGGCTCACCAGAGCTCGGATGTGGAGGTGGCGGCAGCATATCTGATTTGCAGAGATGAAAGGAGCAAGTATTTGGCTGTTTGTTTGTTATCAGATCTGATTTGCAGGGTTTTTGTTTGTTCAGTTCTGAGTTTGTGATATTATCTTGATCTGAGTTTGTGATTTTTGTTGATCTAAATTTATGAGATATGAGAATTTATGTATTTTTCTGATTTTTATCTTTTGAGATGTGAAATTTTATTAGAGCTTTCAGAAGAATATGATAAAATATGGTATTTAACAGAAAAATAAGGTATTTTATTGGTCGTTGAAATTGATCGTTTGATTTTTGAATGAATATAGTAAATATGATATTTATTAATAAATATAGTATTTATTAGTAATATAATATTTAATAAATATGATATTTTATTAACCGTCGAAGTTAGTCGTCAAATTATGAGATGAATATGATAAATATAATATTTATTAATAAATATGGTATTTATCAATAAATATGGTATTTATCAATTATCAAAGCTGACTGTAGGTGATAGCCGCCAATCATTGAAACTAGCTATCGTCGGCGCCGACCAGTATTCATATTTTAGAAAAATATGATATAATATCTTTATTTAAAAAAAGCTCTATAATTTACTATTTTTTAAAAAAATATAAGTTTAGGGGGAGAAAAGGGATGGAAAAAAGGTTTAAGAGTATTTTTAGTTTTTTAATAATGTTTAAAATTTAAAATATCAAATTAGTTTATAATTTGTCTATTTAAAATATATATATATATATATGTTATAATTTATTAAACACCCTTACTAAAAATGTTATTTTCCTCATTCTCCCAAAGTTTTTTTTCTTGGGTAAGTTTTCCTTTTTTTTTTTAACGGCGTAAATTTTTTTTTTATGATTGGTAAAAAAAATTTCATGTAAATAAAAAAATTTTACCATGTAAATTTTTTACCTGTCGTAAATAAAATATTTACATAGTAAACTGCTATTTACTTTAAAGAGTTTTAAAATTTACTATTTACTTAATTTAGTTTCACAAATCTACTATTGACCACAATTTTTGTTAAAATAGTTGTTGAGATTTCGGTTTTGATGATTACTATTTTTGGATTTGATTAATTTTTTGGTGTTGATATTATTTTGAGAATAATTTGATGTAGATTTGATTAAAGATTGATTGCCTGCTGTTATTATCATTTTGGGGAAGTTGAATTTATTTAGAAACTGTTTAAAATTAATCAAATTGATTTGATTTAGTAAAGTCAATTTTTGATGTTTTTAAATAAGTTGAAAATGTATGAGATCTTTGATTTACAAAGGAGATTTTGTTGGGCTGTTCAAATCAATCATTTTAGGAATTATCCAAGTTCATTCATCTTAAATGGAAAGAACCAGTTTTTATAGCTTTGTTGTAGTATTTATTGTAATAAAATTTGTAACAGCCTATTACAATAATGGATTGCTTTAAAGAATTTGACGACTGTTTTGATTTGTCTATTTAATGAAAGTCTCACAATACTCTCTGCACGTTTTGGGAGCCTCAATTTTCTGAGAAGATTTTCAGAAAAAATCTGTGAGTTTGTAAGCCTTAAGAGTTTATTGAATATCGTTCTTCGGGAAAAAATTAGAAGTTTTCGGGAGAGAACGCACTGTCAACCGAAAGGATTTTATCGTGTAATTTTTGAAGACAAGTAGTGCTTGCTGAACAAGGCCGTCAAATTGATTCTAAACGGCGGCGACAAAATCAAAGAGAAAATCTTTATTTGTATAAGTTTGACTAGTGTTGTTAATCTTTGAGATTTATTAGATTGTTTAATATATGGGCGTGGCACTTATCAAACCACAATACCATGTCCTATGTCTTTTTAGTATGTCATATTTCTCTTTTATTTGTTACAATCATGGACGTAGCCAGACTTTTAATTTAATGGGGGCACAAATAAGCAAAAAGTTTATAAACTAATAATATAAAATAAAGTAACTTTTCTAGTACGTTTTTGTAATAAAATTTTATTAAGTAAGGTTCACATTACAATTATTCTTGATAATTTCTCATCTTTTAGTACTGTTTCATAATAACTTCATTATCGATGCTATAAAAACATATTTCTCAAGTGACGGAACAAAAGAAAAAAGATAGAGAATTTTAGGTTTATTTTGGACGGGGAACATAATTTTTGCATTTGTAAACTTGTATTATGCAATAGAGAATAAAGAAAATAGTAAAAAAAAATGAATTCGTAAAGACAGCCGAACCAAGTCATTGAATAATTGTCGATTACAGTTAAACCCAATAGAGTAATCAAAAAAGGCCCAAAAGTAAAAGACTGTTAGAGGAAAAAAAAAGAGAAAGAGGAAAATAGACAAAAATTTGAAATGAATTAAAATTAATAAGTTAATAGTTTATATAAGTTAATAAATATGTCAAATTATTATTTTTGTCTATAATTTGTCTAGTTATGAACCATAATTTAATAAGTTATTATCCATAATTCACGATTTTTGTCCATAACTTGTCTGGTTATGAACAATAACTTGACAAGTTTGTTAATAACTTATCTTTTTATAAATCATAACTTGACAAGTCATGACATATTAATTTTTATAACTAAAAATTGATTTATATACTTTCTTAAACTTTTCATTGACTTATTTTTTACTATTTTTGAAAAAAAAAAAAAAAAAGGGGCAAGTGGAGGCATAAATACCGTAACAAAGTTCTAATCATAAAAAGTTGACGAGGAGTTAGAAAATTTTTCTTACTCAGTGGAGGCCTGTGCCCCTGCTGGTCTCTCTGCAGCTCCGTGCGTGGCGGCAACAAATTTAACAATGAAATCGGTAAAAAGAGCAAACCGGTACTAACAATAGTTTTGTCCACGTTTGTTTTTTCCTTTGATTTTTGAACTGTTGATATGGGTTTCTAGTGCCAGTCTCTTTTTTTCGTTGTTGGCTATATAACGTGAGCAAGATTTAAATGAAAGAATGAGAAAAGGAAATATAGAAACGGATCCAGATTTTGGGCTCACCAGAGGCTGAAAGTCACAGTGGCCGGGCGTGACGGGGCGGGTCGGTGTAGAGTGGCAGTGATGGTCTCAGGGTGAAGGGCGTAAATTTATGTCCTGTTTATTTCACCGATTCGAGTTTAAAATTCGTGTTTTGTTACAGTAAAAAATTTTAAAAAATAACTACATCTAATTTTTTTATTATAGTAAAAAAATTTCATATAAAATCACATTTTAACTCAAATTAATAAATTAAATGGGCCATTATTTTTCAAACTTTTTTAAGTTGTGATTTTCAAAAATAAAAAAACATTGTGCAAAGCTATAATTCAGTGTGAAAGAGAGTACGTGGACCCTCGTTCATCTAATATGGTCCTTTGGTAATTGGTAGGGATTTTAGCGCCCGAACTATCGGCTTTTAACAATAAAATACACGTCGTTTTAGTAACATAAACGACAAACAACTTTTTCATTCCCAAGTCTCGGATCCATAATCACGGGGATCTCTTCCCCGCCACTCCTCTTTTTCGCTTTCCCGAGAATACCGTGGAAAACTCCCAGAAACTTTTTCCCGGGAAAATAAAAAAGAAAATTTTCCCTTCGTATCTAATGGAGCTAATTTCTGTAAATGGAGCAGCTAGTTAAACTCTTATCGTTTTCTCTTGACCTCAATGTGACACCTACTTTCTTCTGTAAAATTTTCTCTGGAAACGAACAGAGCTCTCGGCTGGCCTTTCCTTCCGAAATTCAACAATGGCGACATCGTCAACTCAGATTTTCCATAGCTTGAGGCATCCGAATGCTTCTCTAAGCACGAATTCGTCCTCATCAAATGCACGAACATTTTTGGCTTCAGTTAGAGTCTCTTTAGGGTTTTCTCGTCGCTTGAAGAGCGGGTTTCAGTTGCCTAGTACTCAGTTTCGTGCTCTGGCAATGGTGAAAGATGGAGGAGAGAAAACGGGGGATCGTACTTTGATTGATGATTCTACAGACGCCTTCAAATCCCAGGTTATTGCATCGTTTCATCTTGTTTTCCCAGTTCTTACTAATCGACATTTTCAACGTTGAATTAATTTCACTTTAGTTTTGTGCTTCTTATTTCTGTCGTAGGGATTCGATTAGGTAAGAAAATTATGAGGGAAATTTTTTAGATCAAACAGGAGAAATGAATGCAGTGATTAAATAATTAATGAAATAAAAAAGAGGAAAAAAAAAGAACTGATAAAAATTGATAGGATTAAGTTTCTATTAGTTTGGTCGATTTTCCAAATTTCTCATGCCAGTTTTAGATTCTGAGAGTTTCTTCTCTGTTTGTAGGTTGAAGATAAGATTCAAGAGCGTGATTTTGCTGGAACTCCTTATGTTCCTGTATATGTAATGCTACCAGTGAGTTTATAACTACTATCTTTTATTTGTTTCCCTGAAATGTTGTTATAGACTATTACCTAATTGTCACTTGTTATTAGGGCTTACGTGATTATTTTTTATTTTTTATTTTATTTTATTTTATTAGTATTATTTTTATTTTTGTATATTGAGCCTAATTATCATTCTGAGAGGTGCGAGGTGTATGATTCTCTTGTAATTTTCTTTTCATCATGGTTAAATTCTACAATAGTTGAAAGCGGACGTAATTGAACCACTATAAATCTTGTGTGTATGGTTGATTGCTTTTCTTTATTTTTACTGCTCTCAATAGTAAAGGATTAGGGCTTTAATCTGCAAGAACTTTTGAGTTTCTGTTATTCTTTCTTATGATGGGTTACTTGCAGCTAGGGGTTATCGATACGAACTCAGAGTTGGTTGATCCTGAAGGACTTGTGAATCAGCTTAGGATCCTTAAGTCAATTTATGTTGACGGTGTTATGGTTGATTGCTGGTGGGGAATTGTGGAGGCACATTCTCCACAAGTTTATAACTGGAGTGGCTACAGAAGCCTCTTTCAGATTGTGCGTGACCTTAAGCTCAAATTACAGGTGACTAATATTTGTTAGAAGTTAATATCCATATGCTAACTATTTATTTGTATATTTTAGGATGGTCTCTATTGAGAAAAATATTACGTATTTTTCTTTTACTGTTCATATTTTTGCTGCTATGTGACTTTGACTCTAAACTTGACTTTGTTTGATGTTTCTTCTTTTAAATGCGATGAGGTTGTTATGTCTTTCCATGAATGTGGAGGCAACGTCGGAGATGATGTACATATTCCCCTCCCTGCTTGGATCACAGAAATTGGTCTAACCAACCCTGACATTTACTTCTCTGATAGAGAAGGAAGGCACAATACTGAATGCCTTTCATGGGGAATTGATAAAGAACGCGTTTTGAAAGGGCGGACAGCGGTGGAGGTATGGAATTTAGATATTTTCAGATGACTGATGATTTCAAATGCCCAAGTTGATAGGAAAAGAGCACAATGTTATATTAAACTTGCACAGTCAATAACGCAACCAAGAATAGATTGTTTAACTTCGTTAGTATCAGCTACTTTGGGTTCTATTTTCTCGTCTTGTGATGTAAACTGTTTTTGGACAAATTACTGCTGTTTGGGAGTTGTAAACGTGAATTTTAAAAAGCTTGGCTTTTTGTGATCTCTAATTTTGATGGACGAATTCATTGTTTATTGATAGAATTCTCATTTGGTTTGAGAGCGTCCTGAACTCATCTAGTGATGACTACTTCATCTAAGAGAACTGTTTTCTGAAAAAATTTCCATTATTACTGAGGTGTTGAAGCTCATTATTATTAAGCAAAGAACCAGTTAATGTTGTTGTTACTATTGTCCTCATTTGAGGTTTTAAGCCTGTTATTGGGATTTCTTTATCATTTTCTGTGTAGGTCGTTCTTTGTTTTACATATGAGTATCACTGAAGTTTGATCTATAAATCCCAGTTTTATCATGTAGATTTTTGTTTGTGACAAATTAGTGCAGGTCTATTTTGACTACATGAGAAGCTTCCGTGTAGAATTCGATGAATTTTTTGAGGATGGTATTATCTCTGAGATTGAAGTTGGACTAGGTCCATGTGGGGAGTTACGGTATCCTTCTTATCCTGCAAAACACGGTTGGAAATATCCTGGCATTGGTGAATTTCAGGTACTTATTGTCCCCCCAGCCCTCTTTCTGTCAATTCTGGTAAAAGCATGCAATTTTTGGTGTTTAATGCAACCTATTTGAGTTCAGTGCTATGATAAGTACTTGATGAAAAGTCTGATGAAAGCAGCGGAAGTGAGGGGACACTCAATTTGGGCCAGAGGACCAGATAATGCAGGTTCTTGTAATTCTGCCCCACATGAAACTGGATTCTTTCGTGACGGGGGCGAATATGATAGCTACTATGGTAGATTCTTCCTTAATTGGTACTCTCGGACGTTGGTTGATCATGGGGATCGTGTGCTTGCTCTAGCCAACTTAGCTTTTGAAGGAACTTGCATTGCTGCAAAGGTCATTTTGCAATATTCCATAGAAATAGAGAAGTTCTGATATTTTATACAGTGGTATTCTCTATAACTTGAGAATTTGTCGTTCATTAATGAGCAGCTATCAGGTATACATTGGTGGTACAAGACAGCCAGTCATGCTGCTGAGCTGGCTGCTGGATTTTACAACCCTGCAAATCGTGATGGTTATGCACCAATTGCAGCAATGTTAAAGAAGCATGAGACTGCACTGAATTTCACATGTGTTGAACTCCGCACATTGGACCAACATGAAGACTTTCCAGAGGCATTGGCAGACCCAGAGGGACTAGTGTGGCAGGTATGCACGTGTCAAATGTCCATTATTTATGCACTTATACTAGATTTTGAAGTTGTGCACCTGATTAAAAAGTCCTCTGTGGAAATATCCTCTGTGGAAAAAGATATGTATATTTTAAAACATTGATGCTAGAAGGACAATATGTAGTGCCAGAGTGGTTTTCAAGAAAATTTGCTTTTGGATGTCCAAACTTCTATCAGGTTGCCTAAATTGGCCGCTGCTCCATATTTCAGTATGTGCATAATTTGTTGAAAAGCATATTAGTTCAGGCTTGTTAATCATGAATTGATTGGATTTGGAATGCTGTGAAGTTTCCCAAATTTATAGTCCTGGGATATTTTCTGTTTCCTGATCAACCCAACTGCTGTCAGTAATAATATGGTTTGTTTTTCATCTTTGTTTCCTGGAAAGTAGTGGGATCTGGATTACAATGAAAGTCGGGTGGAAGGTAATGTGATTGTGCTTCATGTCCACACAAATGTCTCTAACATTTGCTGATGCTGAACAAATCATTTTAGGTCTTTTGATATAGTATCTTAAATACAGGTCTTGAACGCTGCATGGGATGTCTGCATTCCAGTTGCAAGTGAGAAAGCTCTTCCTTGCCATGATAGAGAAGGCTATAACAAAATACTGGAAAATGCCAAGCCTTTGAATGATCCCGATGGAAGGCATTTATCTGCCTTCACCTACCTCAGGCTCAGTCCAGTTCTAATGGAGACCCACAACTTCACGGAGTTTGAACGATTTGTGAAGAGAATGCACGGTAAGTCATCCTTGGTCTGCCCTTTGTTTGCTTTGCAAAGTACAACATTTTGTGGCCAGATTTGCTATTTATTTCCCCGTAAAACCTACTATATCAAACGTATAAGTCAGATTCTTGCCCTATTAAAAAGTTGAAATGGAATTTGTTGATCCAGAAGGTGATTTCATTGATAGATATAGGCACAACTCAGCATAGAATGTTACTAATTTGTCACTAGTCTCACTTTCGCTTGCAGGGGAAGCAGTTTCAGATCTTCAAGTTAATCCGAAGAAGCAAGCTAGTTCGGGAAAGGATGACCAAGTTGCACCGTAAGGAGAAAGATAATCTTGAACAACTTTTTCTCTTGATAGAAAGATAATCTAGAAGTTCAATGCACGTGAAATAAGTCCAACAAATTTCCTACATCAGTTAGTTCAGATTGAAATCCCATACGGTTGCCATGTTATGCATGTTTTTGAGTGTCATACCAATGTTAGAAGCTTAACAAAATTTTTCACCTGGTTTCAACTTTTATTTTCTTTAGTACTCCTATTCATACTCGAGCATGAGCTAAATATGTTAATAAAAAGTTTAAAAAGCAAAGAATAATAAACACGCTTGACGCAAAAATTGGAACTATTATTTCAAAAGATTATCGTCTCACGCGACTTTTTTTACAAGATTAGAATACATCTTCTTAGAAACTTACTAGCGATATACCCGCACGTTGCCGCGGGTAATAATTTTGTATATAATGAGAGGGCTACTATTTTGTCACATTATTTATGGAAGAAAAATGGAAAAGGAAATGACAAACCTGTATTGGAATAGAATAGGCATAACAAATGGTGAAAGACCAAATAAAGAAGAAAAAGAGAGACAAAACTGTGAGTGCAGCCAAGTGCGTAAAAAAGTGAAGAACTTAAATGTGAAGAGATGAAGGAAAAGAGATGCGGGGTTACTATTTTGTCACATTATTTATCATTAGGTAAATCTGCATGAATAGTGAATTTTAAGTTGCATCATGGTGAACATTAGGTAGCAACAGAGTAGCTATAATGAATGGAAAAATAATAAATAGGGAACAAAAAGAGAGAGAGATAGAACAGTGTAAGCACAGAGAAGTGGATAAGAAAGCGAGGAAGTTGGTTGCTCAACATGAAGGTAATGAGGAAAAAAGATGGAAGTTTATTATTTTTTGACATTATTTGTCATTTGCCAAATGTGCACGAGTAATGAATAGTGAATGATAAATTGCATAACAATGATTATGAAATATTAATTGTCTTTCTGTACATTTACAATGTGTTGAATGATTTGGTTTCTTATGTTTTTATAAAATAATGGCAATAGAGGGGAAAAGTTTGAACAAATTATGGAGGACTGCAAATGTGAAAACTGTTTATCATCATTGCCATAGTAGTTTGTGTATATACACACACACACACACACATATATATATATATATATATATATATATATATATTAGCAAAAGAAAGGTTCCTGAAACTAAAATAGACTGAGGTGAATTACATGTACGTGCATGTGAGCGAGGAAAGAATAGTGTAAAAGGTCAATATGTTGGAATCAGTGATTTACAAAGCAAAAGACATGATAAATTTATATATGTAATTTCTTATATATTCTCTACGAGCAATAAACAGTTTTTAGGCATTCTATTTCAATCAAAACAGCAATTTGCCACATTTAGTATCAGTCCCAATGATTAGAAATTTATGAATAGGAGTTATTAATCATACATCAAAGGCTGTAAATATATTTTTTCCTACGCAATATCAAGGGAGCACGTGCAGATAGGAGTAAACAATACGGCAATATGAAATAGATAAGTGAAAAAATGAGACAAAGGAAAAGGGGGAGTGGCGGGAAGGGGACGAAAAAAATAAATAAATAAAAATAAAGAGGAGAGAGGACAGGTGAAGAAAAGAGAAATAATAAAACACGGATGTTAGAATATTTTTGTTTAGCTATTTTACATAGTAATGATAACTATAATAAAGTTTGAAGAGGAGAAATGTGATAACATTAGTGTACACATTATGTTTTATGTTTTTTGAACATATCCTATATAAATGGTCACGCCTATAGAGATGAAAAAATATGGGACTTTATTATGTTATAATGTTTTATTTCTATCCTGAAAAGATATAAAAAATAGATGCTTATATGTGTTTTAAGGATGAAAGACTGAATATGAATGAAGCAAGTGTAAATAAAGCAAAGGGAACAATAGTAAACACATAAAGGACTACAGAGTAAAGAATCTGACCAAATAAAAATATATCTATAAGTAAACAAATAAAGGAATAGAATGGCAAAAGAAATGGCTGAAGAACAGTAACAAAAGTTGAATATGATAATGTAAGGCATTAAATCATAGAAAGTGTATCAAATGACGAAATAGAGGAGCCAAAAAATGGTCATATGGCAGAGATATGATAATATCCTTATTTGGCAAAAATGGCTCATACATTCAGTGTTTTCAACAATGTATGATGGGCAAACACACTTATATATCAATGGTAATTTTATGGCTGCCCGCTATGGGCAACTGCACAAAATTGAAGATTAATTTGATGTCATACCTACCATACTGATTAGGATTTGCATGTTAGGGAAAATGGGTGAAGCAAGCTAAAATACAATGTTGTCCATAGACTACCAAGCGAATGACAAAAGGTTTAACAAATTAGGAAATAAACAGAAAAGTAGACTTGCATTTGTATGAAATGATTGAAAATCTAGGGGCATAATAGGGATAAAGGAATAAAAAGTGAAAGCTTAAACAATATGACGACAATTAACTCAGAAAAATAAAACGACGTGGTAGAGAAAAATAGGGAACAAAAATGGCCAAAAATTTTAGGACAACAATATTATCACACTTCATTATGTATAATAGCATCAGGTTGCACAAATAGGAAATAATTCGAAGTAAACCATTGAGAATGAAAGAGAAAAAGAATGAAATAAGAATGAAAAGCAATATATGATATAGATGAAGAAATAATTATTTAAGTAGTCAATAGAAAAATATGAGGGATTGAATATAAATTAATATTATGAAGAACATATTGTTGGTAACCGAATCGAATTCGGATGCGGAAGCGTAGCGGGGAGGCGGATCGTGTATAACAAAAATTTTCATAAAACTTTTGAGATACTCTATAGATTATATTAATTTATGCACGAATAAATTAATCACATTAATTTATATGTCAAGAACTCAATTAGGAAAAATACCTGGAGGCCGACTCGGATGATAACTTGAGTTCTTTGACCACGAATAATCCTTGCTCCAATCTTTGTGTTTAGAAAACCAAAATTTTCTACGTCAATTCCTTGATTCCATATAGACGTGTGTGTGGGTACACGTAAGACAAAACAGGTTCCAAAAAATACTCGAATTTCTACAAAAAACCAACGCATGCACGATGTGGAATTTTTTTTTGGAGAAAAAAATTTTTTTTCTCTCTTTTTTCCTTGAGAATTTTCGGCCACACTAACAATTAGGGCAGAAAAATGTTTCAAAAAATTGTGTCCACAATTTTCTATCATTCTCATATTTAAAAAGTAGAAGTCAAACTTCAAAAATGAATCAAATCTCTATCTCCTGTTTTAAATTTGGAACAAAAAATCTCCTACACCTTATCCCTTAAGTGGCCGGCCACCTTAGGGTTTTTCATCCCTGTGTGTGGCGCCAATTACAGATAGGGAAGGAAGAGAAAATCATCATTTATCCTGCAGTCCAATTTTAATTCAAATTCAAATTTGAATTTAAGTCAAACTTAAATTAATTTGAATTTTAAATTGAACAACTTATCAAATAAGTTTAAAAGGATAAATTTAAATTATGTTCACAATTCAAATTCAAACTTAAATAATCACATTATATAAAAAATAATTAATTCTCAATTAATTATTTTTCGAGTATTTAATTTTAGAATTCCATAATTCTAAAATTCTTATTTTGTCCTTTGTGTCTAGTAGAATTACAAGGACGACGCGGGGACTAATGGACCTATAATCCCGAGCTCCAATAAAATTAATAATTAATTAAACACTTTAATTAATTAATTAATTCTATTAATTCCAATAATTACTCCACTATAAACTTGGAATTGAACTCTCGAAATTATAGACATTAATTACTTCTAAACTGTGAAGTGTCCATTTGATATAATCATTACATATAGATCAATCCTTCATAAATAATTCATAATTAGAGTCAGGTAGAATCTGTTAACCTCTCTAATTATATCTTCATCCTTGAGTACCATTGATTCTCTAATGGATAGTGATTCATAAAACACATTCATGAACCAGAGCGCTCTTACTAATCCAAGTACTGAATCAACACTCAAGAGAATTATTTATCTACTTCTTTCTCAAGAAGGAATGGATTGCATCTCGTATAATAACATTCCCGGCTACCTATTTCATAATATCTCCAAAATACAAAGAATAGGATTCAGGGTCTCGGAATCCGTACCGAGTAAATTAAAAGACATAAATCCATAAATAGGAGTTTGTTAAGAACTTAGGATTAAAATCATTCTATATATAACCATCGGTAGACTCAATTAGAATTTCTATGCTTAACAGAAATTATTAGAAATTCATATTGTGTATATGTCTCTGTTCCACACAATCTCATTATGCGAAATACACTCATTCAATATCTCACCATATTAACAATGCGGATAGCACCGTTCCATTCTAAATGGGAATGACATGTATTAATAATGTTTTAATTAAAGATTCTGAACTTTAATTAAATTCCTTATGAACAATATTTTTTATTATTATCCTTAAACATTATCCACTCGTATATAACACTTATATACTACGTTTAAGGTTACATAAATAATCACAAAATTTTCATTTGATATTCATAAAATATTCATAAATACATGCACATAAAATGATGAATAAACTCTTTTATTAATTAAATAATAAATATCCTATTACATCTTATGCTTCTAGGACACTATTCCCAACACATATCATAAGAAGCTGTGAAAAGAGGGGGAATTGATTGAAAGAGTATGCCAATCAAAGACTAAAATCTAAGAGTAGGCATAAAAACATAATCAACATAAAGAAAATGCATTCACAGCAATCTGTGAACAAACGGTACAAGCCTGACACGTGCAAATCAATTATAGTCATCATTACCATATGGGGCGGAGAAGGGATAAAAAAGGGGGAAAACAGAAAAGATACCTGAAGCTAAGGTACATGGGACAAACACATGTGTGTAAATATGGTATTTAAGGAGGAAGAAAGGATGCATGGTGTTAAGAAACAGATTAAGTGAAAGGAAATACGTAGGTAAGTTTAGGCAGTACAAAATAGTAAAAACAAAAAAAAGGATGTAGGGAAATTAACAGCAGTGATTAACTATAGAGAAAGTCGGTTACCAACATTGCACGTGAATAAGAATCTGTTACCAACATTGCACGTGAATAAG